TTCGTGTGCGTGTGCGTGTGCGTGTGCGTGCGTGTGTGTGTGTGCACGCGCTTGCGTGCGTACAAGTGTGGACGTGTGCGTGGGGCCATTGACATGTAGGGCTCGGAAAATGGGTGGGAGGGCATGCATTGCACAACACATGATTTCAACCCACGCCATGTCAATCATGGCTGCTGCCACGCAGCTTCAGCTGACCATTGATTGCCCCCCGCGCGCACATGGACCCACGATTGTGCGCCCCAGTTCAGCCCTCCTGGCTTGAAGGGCCCTGATGACCTGGCGAGGGGGTCCAGGCGCACGTTTGACCAAGTTTCAATGGTCAAACAAAAAGCCGCAGCATGCCGTACGTGCTGTGCTTCCTGTGGTACCTTGCCGGGAGCACAAACGTGGGAGCGCGCTGCTCGTGCACGGCGCTAGAAATTTGAGATGCGGGCGCCGATGCGGGCACACTTCACAAGGACTCATGTGGTGGAGGTCCGGGTCCCTGGTGCGCCGCAAAGTCCCCGACGCACGTCGTTCATGCGTGCATGTGAAAAGTAGCAGCCCTCCTGCGCACTGAGCGCCTGGATCCACGCCGGGCTCCCCGGCTCGTTGAAGGGCGAGAGGCTGTCAAAGACGAGGCCGTGCGCCTCCTTGAAGTGCGCGAGCGCCGCCAGCATGGACGCGGCAAACGCCTCCACCTGACGGGCAGGCAGTTCATGCATTTACACCGGGGAGACGCGCAATAGTGCACGACATGCCCCATGCGACAAGATGTGAATGCGGCCTGCGTGGGTAGTGCACACTCGGTGCGGTGGGACACATGCACGCGCGCACCTCCATGCGCCCCAGGTTGTTGCGGTACGGCCGCGTGTGCCCGCGGCTGGTGCCGCTCTTGCACATCCAGTACGGCGGCGAGTTGCAGAAGGCCTCGGAGTAGAACGCGTCGCGACCGATGAGCTCACTGCGCAGCAGCGGGCAGGGTGTGGCTTCGAAGGCTGCAGCTTGCTGCATGTCCCAAGCGCGCAGCCAGGCCAGCGCATGGGCCTGGCGCTGACAGCCAACGAAGGCGCGGCGCGGCGTCTTGAATGCAGCAGCTGCGGCAGTGCGAAGCGCCCTGCCAAAGCAGCACCGGGAAAACACTACTATGATAGCCAACTGTCAAATGTGTGTGCCTCAGCGGCTCAGGGCGGATGCAGACACGCCCCAGCTGCAGGATAAGCAGGCCTAGTTCGCCGCCATCACCGCGCGGGCGGCCCCAGCGCACCGCGCGCGCAGCAGGAACGCGGTCTGAGGCGCGTCGGGCTCGGGATCGAAGCTGCCGTCGCGGCTGTAGCAGCAGGGCACGGCTCCCCCGGCCCTGAACTTTCCGAGGTCATCCCCATTCAGGTCTGAACCCCCTATGTTGTACCTGGGAAGGGGACGTTCACGAGGAAGCAGGCGTGTGCGATTTGCAAGCACCGTTTCATGCGCTGAGGCAAGATGGGTGGTAGTTTCTGCATAACCGTTTGACGCGCAGCGCACAGGCTTGCACGAGGTCTCACCACGCCGGCACTGCTGGCGGAGCCCCGCCGCTGCGGCTTGCTCAAGTGAGTGGTGGACCCACCGGCAGGCGCCCTGCAGCCCAGCCCTCCCCTCCCTGGCCGGCCGCGGCCCTGCGTCCCCTGGCCGTGCCCACCTCACAATGTTGAGGCCCAGGCCGTCCCGGCTGAACAGCGCCTGAGATACGGCCTCCAGCAGCTGAGAGTCTGTGCCTATCGCGTGGGCTGTGAGCGAAAGCAGCGCATGCCCGATGCAGCGCGCCCATGGTCTGTACAGGATCTTGGCGGTTTGGCGGCGTGACACTGGGCGCCACACCGGTGCTGTGCATGCGCACTGCCATGTGCTCGCATCGAATGCACAGGTACGCAGGGTTACAGCCTGTCGCAGGCTGCTAGAAATGACACAACCTGTGGACGCTCGCGCGTGCGAGCACACGCGTGCACACGCACGCACGCATGTGCATGCGCATGCTCACGCACCGAGAGCAGCAATGCATGCCCGCACGCACGCTCACGCACACGCGCATGCGCACACACACACACCATCGCGCAGCAGCAGGCAGTGTCGCACGCTGCGGCTTCAGCAGGCGTCGCAGACTGTGTGCAATCCGTGTGATGCACTTACCAAACCATGCTAGCGACGTGCCCCAGCCAACAAAATCGCCGCTGCTGTCTGCTGGCAGCGTGTTTGGCACCACCAGCACCTTGGCATCGGCATTCCTCCCAGAGGTGCACCGCATGAGCCTTGCGCGACGGCCACCGATGGCCGCAGTGTTGCTCCTGCGCGTACAGCACTGAAATCTACGCTTGAAGCGCACACAGGCGATCCACCAGCGCGCGTTTTAAGCGCAACGAGTGACCACGTCGACCGCGTCCGAGTGACAAAGACGACGGAGCGAAGGCATCGTTTGAATGCTCTCGTGTACACCTGACTGAAGTGTGTAGGTACTCCCGCAGGTGCGTAACCCGTCGCTGCTGGGTAACAAGTGATCTCGGGCCGGCGATTCACTCAGAGCTTGCAGGGTGCTTGGACGCCCTGGACCACCATGTGGGCCTTCTTGCCAAGATGATGAATACAAGCATCCTCAACACTTATCCCATAAGTGCTGAGGATTAGCGCATGGGTCAGGCCAATGCTGACTAGCACGCAACAGACGATTTCTCACGTGAGCAGCATGGGCACTGCGACCTAGGCGAGCAACCTACACGCATGCAACGATCAAGGGCACGCCACCGAAATGCGCACCGCTTTCTGCCGTCATCAAGATCAACTTGGCAGGCTCCCGGTTATTGTTTTTCTGCCTGGTTTTTGTTTTGCACCCCCTGACTTTTGAGTATCGAGCAACTCTGCTTTTGCTTGTTATTGCTCGAGAGTAATCTCCACAACATAATTCCCAATTCAATTGAGTTGGCTTGCCAATTGGACAACTGTAAGGGAACCCTAGAGCCTGGGCCCAGGGCACTGCGGCTGCTAGGTGCTTCTGGGCAGCTCCTGAGACCTTTCAGCGGGCAATGCGCGTCCTCTAGGCCGGACAATTCTTAATCGCAGATTTTTGATCAAGCAGAGTTGGCTGTGGGGGCCCAGAAGCCTCATGGGCAGATGGGACACACCTCGCTCTGATTGTGGGCGGGACACGCATACATGTGCTCCACTGCCTCGCTGTCCCTGGTGAGCGCAGGCACCCTGCATGTTTGGCGCCGATTGTGCTCGCGCTCGTTAGCGGGACAAACTGGGATCAGAAACAGGCACTGGTGCTTCTGCATCTAGAGCCTCGCTATATATGTTGATGCCTTCGCCTTGGATGCTGGCAGACGGCGCGCAGCCGCCATCAATGACAGAGTTTCGAATAACTTTTGCAGCAATTGGTGTTGTTCCCCCGCATGTCCGTATCTGGATTGCAGCAGTGACTCGCACTCGCAGGCACTGCGGCTGCCACCATCGTGCGTTCCTGCTTGGGTAGTTGACTTGGTTGACTGGCACTTTCGATGCCAGCCGCTGTGTTTTTTTTGCTTCTGGCACCTTAATGCATGTTACAGCCAATTAAACTGCGGCGATTAGCCCAGACATGCTGAAAATGACTGTGATTTTGCCTCGTTCCACCCTGGTGGGTTGAGTCACCACATCCGTCACCGCGCCGATGCCGATCACGCGAGCAGCCCCACCTGATTGTGGGCATGGTATTGCAACACACATCCGCAAGTTTTGAATCACATAAATGTGGTTTGCCTATAAATCAAAAGCTTCAAAAGCTTCAAAAGCTTCAGAGGGTTCCTTCTTCTGCAGTACCCAGGACCAGCACCTTGCGGCAGGGAAACATGCTACTGACCTGCCGTTACTCGTGATTGTATCCGGCGCGGTGCAGGGCACGCGCGTAGTTGGCGCAGGGCCACCGCTGGCGTGGCCACGGCGCTCGTGACCATGAAGTGGTGGGTGTCAGGCATAATAGATCAGGATCAATCTTCTATATGGCGTGGCCCTCGTGGAGCGGTTGTGTGGGGCAGGCCCATGCATTCGCGGTGTGCGATGCACACATAATCGTCCCTATCTTAGGCTGTGCCCCCGGCTATATGCTGTTTCAGAAGGTGTTTATCACATGGCGGCCGTGCATGGCTGTGCCGTGTGTGCCCCTTTGGGCGTGCCCCTTCCTGGCCACTTCACAGCGCGGCTGCGTCCTCGCGGGCCTTTGCCGCGCACCGCCTCCCCAAAACCGCGCCCTCGCCCCTGCCCTCTCAATGCAGGCTGCAGTCCCTCAAGTCGAATCTCAAGAAGCGACGCTCGCAGGCTGGGTCCGCCGAGCTTTGTGCGGCCGGCGGTGATGACCTGCTGGGCGGCGCCGACGCCGCACTGGAGTGCGGCTTCAGCTCCGACAGCGATGCAGACTTCCCCAGCCGCCCCAAACGGCGCTCGGTATCCGTTGACCTGTTCAGCGCGCCGCCCGAGCGGGGGCATGCGCCAGCCGGCGCCGGTGCAGCCCCCAATGAGGAGCCCCACGTCGGTGCAGGGGGCGGCAGCAGTGCGTCCCCCGACCTCCGCGGCGCAGCAACCCGCGCGCAGCGGCAGGCGTCCGGCGAGCGGCTGCGGGAGCGGCGGTCGTCGCTCGAGCAGTGGCACGAGGCGCGGCGGCAGAGGTGGGCGCGCGCACAGCCCGGGGCGCGCATGTGCCTGCAGCGCGGTGTGGCGCAGTGAGGGGCCCTGTTTGCGGCGCTGGCCTCGCTGATCGTGCTGTGAGCGATTGCCCAGCGCGCTCTGCGGCAATCCAGGGCTGACGCATCGGATCGCGGTCCTTTGTAATCTGCAGGAACTCTATGGAGTCTCAGGGCACGATCTCCACTGACAAGCTGACGGTCTTCAAGGTGAGCAGCGCAGTTCCAGCCTCGCGCCGCATGGCGAAGGGCGCATCGCTGTGCCCGTGTCTTGGCCGGCGCGCAGCACAGTGCACGCCTCGCTGCAGCAGCGGCCCCGCCAGGCCCGTGGTTGCGGCAGCGGGCTTGGCGACGCGCCGCGCCCTCAACCGCCCCGCAGGCTGCGGGGACGACCATCCTCAACAACACGTACATCACGATCAAGCACCTCGGGTCAGGCACGTTTGGGCGCGTCATGCTGTGCTTCAACGCCTATGACCACCGGATGTACGCCATAAAGTTCTGCCGCAAGTCGCAGTTTGCGCAGACCGCGGGGCGCTGCGGTGGCGGCGCGCGGCGGCGGCGCGGCAGCGCCGGCAGCTACGGGCTGGTGTCGCCGGGGGGCGGCGGCGTCTCCGGGCCCAACGGGCTCGCCGGGCGCAGCGGAGGGGCGTTTGCGGGCGCGGGCGGCGGCGTTGGCGCGCACAGCTGCTGTCCGCTGCCGCCGCCGCCGCCGTGCCCGGCGAACTCGGCGGGGGCTGCGGCGTCCGCGTCACGCGAGGACGAGGCGGCACCGGCGGGCGCGGGCGGCCACCACCGGGACGCGCAGGCGCCGCAGCTCGTGCCGCTGCTGCCGCACCAGGTGATGGGGATGGGCGGCTTCGCACGCGCCGCCACGGGCGCGTCGCCGCAGCAGGGGGGGTCGCCATGGGCCCTGCGGCAGCCGTCGCCGCAGCAGCCGCAGGCGCTTGCGAGGCAGCAGCAGGGCCACCCGCAGGCCAGCGACGCGCATTCCGGCACGGCGCGCGTTGGGGCCGCGCACGACAGCGGCGCTTTTGGGAGCGCCTGTCCTTTCAGCGGGCTGGCAAGCCAGGGCGCCCTCAGCATCAGCGCGCCGCAGCTGTCGCCCTCCGCGCCGCCGCCACCCCCGCCGCCGCCGCCGCCCCCGCCGCCGCCCCCGCCGCCGCCCGGCGCGGAGGATGCGGCGATGGCTGACGCGGGCGATGGCAGCGGCCTCAGCAGCGGCGGCGGCGGGGGCGGCGGCAGCGGCGGCGGCGGCGGCCGCGCCTGCGTCGGCTCTCTGGACAGCACCGGCAGCCAGGCGGCCAGCCGGGGCCACGGGCCGACGAGCAGCGGCGTCAGCAGCGGCGCCAACGGCTTCGCTGTCGGCGCCTGCGGCGGCGCCGGCGGCTGTGGGGGCAGCGTGTTTCAGGAGGCGCTGTCGCGTTTCCAGACAGAGGAGCTTATAAAGGAGATCGCCATCCTGAAGAAACTCAGCCACCCCAATATAGTCAACCTTGTGGAGGTGATCGACGACCCCACGACCGACAGCCTCCTGCTGGTGATGGAGTACGTGGAGGGCGGCACGCTGCAGCCGCAGGAGGCGGGGCAGGGGCAGGGGCGGTGGCGGCCGCTGCCGGAGGGGCTCGTGTGGAAGTACGTGAGGGAGGTGCTGCAGGTGCGTGTTCGCTCGCGGGTGTGTGTTTGTGTGTGTTCATGTTTGCGTCTGCACGTATGTGTGCATGTGTGGGAGCTCGTGTGTGATGGTCCGCAGCGTTGGTCCGTCCGCGAGTCTTCGTCGGGCCCTCGCCCGCGCAGGCGGCGCGGCCTCGCAGAGCCGACTCGGGAGGGGGGACCAAGCAGCCGCGGCCTGCTCGCCCGGCGACGCCCCCGGCGCCTGCCCGGCTTCGCACCCCTTCCGACCATTGATGGCCCCCCACGCACCCCGCCCGACCGCCGCCGCGCCGCCCCAAACGCGCCCACGCCCCACCAGGGCCTGGATTATCTCCATGCGAATCACGTGGTCCACGGGGATCTGAAGCCTGCGAATCTGCTGCTGGATTCCAACAGCCACCGCGTGAAGATCGCGGACTTTGGCAGCAGCATCATCGCCGGCGGGGACCGCGCGTTCTCGCCGCGCGTGGGGGGCGCGGGGTTCAGCACGCCGGCGTTCAGGAGCCCGGAGAGCCTCACCAGCGGGTACCAGCCCAGCTTCGAGGTGCGTGCTGCGCGGGCTGCTGCGGCTGCTGCTGCTGTTGGTTGTTGTGACTATCCGAATGTTGGTCTTCGGGATTAGTGGGGATGTGCACACGAATCTGCGTGCTTCCGCACACACTCTCCACACGCGTGTGCGGGCACACGCACACGCATACGTATGATGCTTGAGCCTGGCATTTGGTCCCAGTTGTGCCGTTCTGTACCCTGCGTCTGTTGTTGGCTGCGTTGCAGCTGCGCTTGCTGGTTAGCTTCCTGCCCTCCCTCCGCATAATCCGCCGCTGCCTCCCCGCCCCCCACCCTGGTCCCCCCAGATGGACATGTGGGCTCTGGGCGTGTGCGTCTTCCTGTGGGTGTTTGGGGAGCTGCCCTTTACGGGCGCTGCGCCCTTCATCATATACGACAAGATCCGCAGCCAGGTGGGCGGGCCGGCTTTTCTGGGAGCGCGCGCCAGTGATCCGGGAAGGGATCTTTGCCGGCAAGGCGGCCGGCGGCTGCCGCCCCGCCACCGGGGGGCTTGATTACTGCACCAGCTAGGAAGCGCTGCGGCGACCCCCAGCCCGCTCACGGATTTGGCTGCACCACCTTTGCCCCCTTGCAACGAACCAGGAGGTGCGCCTGCCCCAGCCGCGCGAGGCGCCCGCGTGCCCCGACCGCCCCGGCGCCAGCCCCGAGCTGCTGGACTTTGTTGGGCAGCTGCTGCAGAGGGACGTGCTGCGGCGGCCGGACGTGGCGGGGGCCATGAGGTGGGTGGCGTGTACATGTGTGTGCGTGTGCGTGCGTGCGCGCGTGTGTGAGTGTGTGTGTATGTGAGCGGGGAAGCCACATCAGACGGGCCTGCTTGCAGCGGCAGCCGCGGCTGCCACAGGGTTGGCGGCGTCTGGGACGAAGCAGTCTGATTGTAAGTTTGCGTCAGACGAGCACGTCCGGCTCCTCGCCCTTTGCCCTTTGCCGTCAGGGTTTCCACTTGATCCGCGCCCTTGCCGACATCCCTGATTTTTATCCATCCACGCGTCAACCTCAACCCAGGCACCCGTGGGTCACGTTGGGTGGCTCTGCCCAGATGGTGTCGCTCAGCGACCCCCACACCACCCCCGGCGCGCCCAGCCCCCCGCCCGCCGCCCCCGGCGCGCCGCCGGCAGCGCCGCCGTCCGCACGCCCGACGCCGACGCAGCGCGAGATAGAGACCGCCATCCGCCTCGCGGACCGGCCGCTGCGGGAGCGCGTCGAGGCCGTCTTCACAGAGCGCCGCTACCGCGACGGAGAGGTGCTGGTGGCGCCCGGCGACGCCGCGGACACCGTCTTCCTGCTGGCCGCAGGGGAGGTCGAGATTATAGCGCCGCCGCTGCTCGGCGGCGCCGGCGCCGCGCAGCCGCTGATCAGCGGGTTCGATCTGGAGGAGATCTCGGGGCCCGGCGGAAGCGGGATGGACGCGCTGGAGGATGACCCGGCGCTGCTCACTGCGGCGGCGCGCGGCGGCGACAGCGGCGCGCTCGCGTCGGTCGCGCTGATCGGCGAGGTCATCGCCGCCGGCGCGGCGCCGCGGCCGGCGGCGACGGCCGCGGCGGCGGGGCCGCGGCC